AGATTTTTATGTCTTTGTTCTACACTGTTCTGAAGTAAGTTATTGTGATCACATACAGAAATAGTGATACTGAAGTAATAAAAAAGTGATACTGAAAAGCATTTGGTCACCATAAATGCTTACATGTATAGCTATTCAGACTATAAAGTAGGTGGTCATAATACCTTCACAAAGATTAAATGATAATTGTGAAGAATTTTCCTCGTTCTCATGTGGTGAGTATGGATGTACAGAAGGTGTATGGCTGTAAAAGATGCACACTCAATGCTTTTAAGAGATTGTGAACATTGATGATTCCTGACATTGTTGTCTTCTCTGTGGCATTTCTAGTATTATTTTGTTTTGCTTTGCTCTAGCTTTGGTTTGCCAGGTTGAGTTATGGTGAAGAAAAGACTCTTGTCCCTTTTATCAGCACGGTTTCTTAGCACAACCATCAACACTTGAATTCCCTTGAAACCCTCTCCTGCCACAGACCTGGTTTAAGTCACACATGATACAAAATATTTTGTATTTTAATAAAAAATATATGGGAAGAGATTAGTTTCTACATTTCAACCCTTGATGAAAAGTAAATATTAAAATATAAATGCAAAATTTTGAATGAAATCTCAATAAATTCCTCTAACATGGCACCAGATGCAGCTTATGTACATGTTGATAGCATCCTAGTATTTAGCAGTAATTAAGATTATATTCAATGAGGCATAAATGTGACTTTGATTCAAAGAGCTGGGATATCATGTTAATAAGCAAAATTATGGGTGGTATATATGCAATACTGATAAGGTTGAACAGAGAAGGTTGAATATTATCTGGTACCTGAACCAGTAGCTGCATTAAGAAGAGAAAAAAGAGTAAGAGCGTTTTCTTGGCAAATATTGCCTCAATTTTTTGACTATAAATATAAATATGTGGCTTATAGTTCAAAGTATTCACCTGCTTTCTTCTGTGTTTTATTTCATTTTACTCTTTTTTTTTTTTCTCTTTTTTTGGTCACAGTGTATCTGCAGATATATAGATATATATTTGATTCGTGTTTGCATTGCACATCTTGATATCTATACTTCTGTTTCTGTCTCAGAACTGTCCTGTTGCTGTATTCAGTGATGCTTGTGTAAGGAGGGCAAACAGTGATGTACTTTTTATGTTTATCTGTAGCTCCCTGTATTCCAAAATAATATATATATATATTTTTTTTTTCCCTGTGATAATTCAGTTTTATACAGTGAGGTGATTATGAACGAGAAATCTTTCAAACAAACAATAATTTGTCACTTTATTTGGAACCCTGCAGAGAAACACTTCTTAAATCCTAGCTACAAGAAAAGAAGCCATTCTTTCTATTTAATAACCCCTTCACCTCAAAGGATGTAGAATCACTTTTTAAGATCTTGTTCCTAACTCAAGTGAACTCAAGAGGAGATGTCTGTCAGGTTTTGGTATTGGCTTGACTTCCACCTCAGAAATAGCACAGGAAGTATACTATACAAATATTTGTTTTATGATACTTCCAAGGGAAGTTTCCGGCTTTTGCACGAAGTGATATTGATGCTGGGGTTCAATTAAGAGGTTAACTTAGATGGGTATGGCATATGGGAATTTAAATTTTCATTAATGTGACTTTTCTGGCAAGGTAATCAATATTTACACTGTTAATCTAGACAGTGACAAAATATACTAGATACTCAGATAAAATCAGATAGTACTCATCATGAAAAATAATTCAGCCTAAACTCAAATTGAAAATTACCACAGGTTTGCTTTCTAAATTGAGAATCGAATTCCTCAATTTTTACTTAATTTGTTCAGTTTGGATTATCTGTTTTTTAAAGATCTTTAGATTTTATCCACATTACCCTTATTTAGATTTATCCAAAGCTTGTTGAAATCGATGGAAGTCTGTCTTAATTTTTCCTAATGTATCTTTTCAATTTAGGCTTACTCTGATGGAAAGTTCTGCAGGATTGTTGGTTCCTACTGTTTTGATTTTTGCTTGAAGTGGAATTTTTTTTGTGGTATATCTTCAGGTCCCTTAAAGCTGGGACGATTTTTAAAACATATGGAGTTGGACTCTTGTTCTGCTCAAAATCCTACCTGAAAGAGAAAGAGAGAGAGAGAATTAATGGATTATTGTGGTGTTGTGTACAAATCTTCACCTGGAACATATTTGCTGTTGACAAGGTTAAAAACTGCTGAAGCAGAATTGCTCCCTATCCCTCTTTCCTTTGTTCCTTATCCTGTCCCATAAAGCAATCAAATCCTGCTTTCTAAGCCTATCTTGACATGCCAAATGTGGCACCTCATGTCTTGCCATATCTTCTGTTGCTACCTCTGTGACATAATCTTCACGCTCTATCACTTGAATGTAATGTAAAGTAAAGACTGAGAGAGGCTGAAAAACTTCGTTCTGTTCTGCCTAAGAAATGATAAAAAGCTTTGTACTGACTTTTCTCTGAGTCTGCTTAGTTCTAAAATGGAAGTGTGTTGTTTTTCCTCCAAAGGGGGATGTATATGTACTGTAATTCTGTGCAAAGAGTGAGTTAAAAAATGTAAAATGATTGGATGTTTTTGACTCTTCTAGCCCAAGGTTAAAAACAGTCAAACAGTAATATTCCACCTGTTAAGTTCACATGGGTATTTTAAATATTAATGTTTTTGAGAAGCTCAAAAATATTTAGAGAAATAAAGATGATAATTCTAGGGAAAAAAAAAAAAGGAAAATGAAAATGAATTACCCTGATTTCAGAGCAGTGGATGCATAGAACAATATGTTGAACTCACAGGCATAAAGAAAAATAATAACTAGCTGCTGATTTTGCTCATGTATTCAGTGAGGTGGGACAATATGTGATCGTGTAAGTGAAGTACTATAATTCCTGTGTCTGTACCATGAGTGTGAGAGGGAGGAGAATATTTAGGTGTTGTACTCCAATTTTTGCAGTGTCCCTTTCAGTATAACCTTTCTGTATAACCTACTAAATGGTAAATTACTGCTGAATTACTAGCATTTAAGATTGGTCCTCAGATCTAGGTTATCATTTACTACAAAATTGTGCACTGGGTTGCTGAGAAATGTTCTGAGAAATGTGCTATATCCACAAAGGAATGGTGAAGTTCAGGGATTTGAGGTTCTTTCCAAACCTGGCAATAGAATGAAATCTGGAGAGGATGGGCTCTGCATTTGTTTCCATCCATAAGGCTCAGAGTAGTTTAGTATTTTCTTCCAGTCTAAATCCTATTGCTTTTATGCTCCAGGCTTCCTGAGTACAAAACTGCTCAGCAAGTTTAATCTGAATTTGATCCTGCTCTCCCACATCTTTAACTTCATCCCTTCTCCCACCAGATGTCCTTAATTCCTTCCACAGTTGTCTTGTTTAGCTGACCCAGTGCTTTGCCTACAGCCTTGCTTTTCGGTCTGTATTTTTCAACAGCAGTCTGAGTCCAGTTATCCTGGTAGGGTGTTATCAGCCTGCCTTTCCTAGCTTTCTGTAATTTAATCGTTGCTCGGTCTCTTTGTTCAGTCAGTCACACTTACCCTGTTGCCATAGCCGTGCCAGGGATCTCTGCTTTCCCAATCCTCTTGGCTTGCAAGTAATAGAAGAAGCTCCCAAACCTCCAGCTGGTTTTCTGTTCATTAATACACAGGGAGGATTCACACCCCGTCAAATCCCAGAGCCCCATTTACTCCAGTTAGCTCACTAGGACCAAAGAGAGTCATGTGAGGAAGCTCTGATGCACTGGGATGGGTTTATTCTGTGACTTGTCTGACTCTCCTGATTTTAAAGAGCTGCAAATACAAAACTTGCACTAGCAGTGATTTATCCTGGCACATTTCTTTGCAGATATATTTATTACTTATAATAAAGCACTTTTTCGGCTTCATTGTAAGCTCAAAGCCAGATAATTTCTTGTTTTCAAGTATGTTGGTATGCAACATATGCACTAGTTTCCATGGTGCCTACTATATTCCTTGAGGTTTTCCTCCCTCATATGGCCAAGGCCCACGTGAGTTCTTTGAAATACATGAAACAGACATTACAGGCCTTCATAAAACGTTAATTGCATGTTTTCTTATATTTGCAAGAGTCTTACCTCAATGTCCCAACCATTAGCTTCAATTTTTAATTTTTATATTTTTTAAATTAAAATCCACAGGGACACTTTCGTTTTTTCTATTACAGTTGACAGTAATAAACATGGAAATACGCAGTTTCCTCTGATGCAGAGTCTCTGTTGGACTCTTAGCCAATCTTGAATTTTCTATATTTTTCCAGCATTCCATCTGATGCCAAATTAAATGGAAAATAGCCCTGTTTGCAGGTTTCACACAACAGTAAGGAGCTCTCTTAAGAATACTAAAATGTTTATCGATAAACTATGATTAATTTCCACTCTATTCTTATTGACTCTTTTTTTAAGAACCAGCGCAGAATTCAATATCATAGACTACAAATTTTCACAGGATTGATTCATGAGCTGGAGTTGCATCTCTTATACCAACTTGGCTAGGCTCTAATGAACGAACTCATTTTCTTTGAATAATTTTTGATTATAATCTGCAAACACTTCTGCTCTTAAAACCACTGCTTGGTTCATTTTTTATTTTATTTTTTTCCAGAAAGATAAGGGTTTTTATATCATACTGAATAATTAGTACTTAGGATGTATATCCTATCTTAAACACGCCTTCCAAATGTTAACCAAGGATTATATTAATAATGCACAGCTCTATATTTTAATAGCTGCTAATTCCCTTAAATGCTTTTTCAGGAGGGAGGTCAACAAATACAGAGAGTCTCGGATGCTGTTCATTTGTTTTTATTTCCTTCAGGAGCTTGCATTTTTCCTGAATGGTGTTTGATTTTCTTCCTGCCATCCAGTACTTTTTCTTCAAAAGTTACCCTCATATACGTGGATATTTTTCAACACACTTTCCAAAACAATCTGGTATTCTACTTGCAGACTTGCAAATAGTTTGCTCCTCCCCACCCCCCACTGTCTTTGTGAAGAGAATGCTCACCATGATTTTGCCTTATCTTTTCCTTTATATTAAATAAAATATGGATAGGATGCTTACACATGATTATTAAATATTAGCAGACAATGTCTACAATATTAAACCCAACTGATTAAAGACTTCAGGGAGAGAATAATTGCTGGAAATTTGGGAATGCAGAATTACCTCTGAAGATAAATCATTTTTGAAATTTATAAAATAAGTGATATTTTATGATAATATTAAGCTTAGTTCTTAAGGAATATAATTGCAGTAAAGATAATGTAAAATTTTAGATTATGTCCATTTGGGACTGACTTTTTTTAAAAAAAAGGCAATTAAATGAAACCAATCTACCTAAAACGGTATTTATTTTGACATCCTAAGAATGAATCCTCAAAATTGTCAGAGTATTTGAGATATAACAAAACATACACCAAATACTATTGCACTTTTTAGTGATCCATGAAGACAATGAAGTGACTATAAATCATATAGGAAGGAAAAAAACACATTTTTCTTATGGATGGAAACAACAAAGGTGTAAATCCAGCTACATGGTGCCTTCAGATTACTCTTCTTTTCATTTTTCCAAAAAGATAAGCTGCATTTTCTGATTCCTTCTGGTAGAAAGCTGCTTGTGTTGGTTTGAAAACTCCAGCTCCATTGAAGTTCTAAAAAATAAAAATAGAATTGCAGTTTGCTGACTTACTGTTATTTTCTAGAAGGCTTGTTAAAATACTCGAGGTATAAAGATGTCCTTTCATAAGGAAAGGAAAATGAATAATTTCTACTGAAAACTTTTGATAATTTTGTATTAGCCTTTGCGTTCATTTTGAACACCGAACTAAGCCTCAAAAACAGGCTAAATTTCAAACCACTGTAACTTTTGTGGACTCTGACTCAGGAAGTCACTTGCTCATAATTTTTTACATAAAGTTTGCCTTTCCTCTGTCTGTCTATCTGCAGGTAAGTCTGCCTTCTGCAGTTTTACAGCTGCTGTGCTACTTGAGCTTACTGGGAGCTACCCGGTATAACAGTTCTCTATGTCTCTTTTATGGTTTTGATTCTAACATATGAATAAAGAGAAAAAATATTTCACAGCCAATTTCTTAGCTTTACTATGTCCTTAAATTTATTCCATATGAGCTATGAATGACTGATGGATTTTGGCAGATGAAAAATAAAAACCTTACTCATATTGATGTAAAAATATTTTACAACATTTATAAAATTTATTTTTCTCATTGCCTTTTGGACACAGGACCAAGATCTCATATACATTTATTTCTATGTAAAGTTTCCTTGTTGAATTTCACTAGGAGGCTACATTTCTAGAATAAGGGTCAGTCTGACCAGAGCACAGCAAATAGTTTTAAAGTGCTCCATTCTACTAACGCCTGCCAACACATACCTACTCTACATTTTCTGTAGTCTGTACAGATGAAAAATAGCCAATAAAGTGTTGATAAGAACTACTTTCACATAGTTCTCAGGCAGGTTCAAAACTTTTAAAGACCTCTTTGGCTGTATGGACATACCTTTAAATTATGGCATATGATTCTGTGATCAGGCTCAGGCAGGATCTGCACTTAAATTTTTTATCTTACTATTTGATAGCTCATTCTTTTGAGAAGTAATATCCTACCACTAGGTAATTTCTTCTGTTTTCTCTGCTGTAAATTGATGATAAATTTTCCCCCACAGTCTTTCAAAAAGGTATTAGTTACGTAAGTATTTATAAGTAACAAGCCCATTAAAAGTAAACTGAAACTGGTGTGAAGTTGTGTTGTTTGAAATTCATTTAACGGCTTGTATCTGGAGAACCAGCTGGGAAAAATGATCTGGAGAACAGAATTTATAAGAATTGTAAATCACTGTTTGTGTAGGTCCATGCAGCAGAAGGTTGGGGAAGGTGGGACTGTGGGGCCAGGGGGCTTGCTGTTTGAAAACAGTTTGTCGTCTGTCTGTGAGAAACAGCAGGACAGCAGCTATTTCCCTGAGTGATTTTTACATGAGCAAAGCATGATTAGCACTTGAGTCCTTGCTGGTTTTCACATCTGCACAAAACAATCTGAAATGTTAAGACTTTTTTCTTAGGACTTGGCCTGATGCTTCTAAGGAACAAGAACTTACTATTGATTTCAGGGTTTGCATGAGTCAGAGTGGGTTTTGTGTGGTTGTGGCATTGTCTGACGTATTTTATTTATTTATTTTTTTTGAATCAGAGAGCATGTTACACTATCACAGAGACATAGCCTAACTTGGCTAGTGAAAAAATGTCTGTCACAGGTGAAAGGGCTTAAGCTGCAGTTATTCACTCAGGGACAGTCTGCACACTATTTGTCAAGCAGGTGATGTACTGACACTAATGACAAAAGCAATCTCTAACTCAAAGCACAGTGTTATCATGGAATAGTCCTCAAAAGGAAAGAAAGATGGTGGAGATTAAAATGTATGCATTGTGTACAGGCTATGATAACAGATATGAACTATCAAATATTACTGAATAACACGCAATTTATTTCTCTGTTTGGAAATTCAGTTTATACTGGAAGCCAGTGCTGGCTTGCAAAGTGCCTGGAGTGCTGGGAGCTGTGCTGCTACTTGCCTTACAGATCCTGATAATAAATTACCAGAGAAGGTACAGCTATTGCTAACCATAACAGCTTCTGGCACTTACTGATAGTCACACTCACTTTTCATCTCCATTTTCTCTGCCTCCTACAAGCAGTAGTGTTTCTGAAGAAAGTAACTTACTACCATTATATTTCACCAAAATAAGTAAACAGTATAAATAAGATGAAGTCACTGAAAGTAAATAGAAACATATCTGTGTGAATTTATTGGGTAAGACAAGGTTCAGAGATACTGTGAGAACAAGTCTAGAGAGGAGGTGGGATGGAAGGCTGGAACTTAGGTGGAAAGACAGAGCCAGAACACCTGGATGGGGGGGACAGGAGACACTGGTGGCTGAAAGTTAGACTGGGTAAACGAGAGGCCTCTTGTATGAAAGAACCATAGTACATAGGAAGAAAACAAAGATACTTTTCCATTAAGGGCTTAGCCTGAAGGTGGCTGCTTTGTGCTAGCTGCTTTCACGCAGCAAATGAGCAAACCCATCTAATGATACCACACAAGATGGGATTATTCAGGTATATCATAATAATTTTTCTATTTCTTGCTTCATCTGCTGCTCAAGGTTGCCCATTTATTTTAAACTCTGAATATCTTAGCTAGGGTTATTACAAACTTTCAAGCTTAACTGGGACCCTAATTTGCCCTGATGATGTGTAATGATGATGTGTAAGAGTGAAAGAGCCCAGTGTGAAACAGCATGCATTTGATATGAACTGTAGTTGAAAAACTTGGCTCCTAACCCATTTTATCAAGCCATCCTAAACAAAACTTAGTAGAACTGCTGAAGTTAACTTCAACTTTTATATGAATTTTTAGTTTTATAAGAAATTTTTTAGTGGACTTTACAATTCAACGTGTATATTCATCTTGAGGGTCAATGGAACTGAAGACTTGTCCTTCAGTTATATCAACAGATATATACATGTATATATATATAACAGATATATGTCCTTCTAAAAATGCACTTTAAAGTCCATTCCTTTTTTTTTTTTTTTTTTTGTTAGAATGGAAAAATGGCATTTTATTTTAATTTTAAATGGATATTATATATATTGTTGTGGTAATTACCTTATAGTAATTTGACAATTTGCCTGATGAAAATGTTGGTCAGCACAACCAACATTTATAAAAAAAGTAACTTATTGTAAGTAAAATATGAATGGTTTGTTCTAATTAGGAGAAAATTAACAGATGATAAAATGTGGCTTTTGGCTGTATAATAATTTGAAAAGAACCTTTTCTAAGTGAGATCTGGGAATCAGTGTGTATATTTTCAGTGATTTCTATTTCATGGTAGTAAAGTTAAATAAAAAAATCATTACAATAAAACAAATTAAATGCATAGTAGGTGACCCTTGAGTGTCTATTTAACCTTAAGAGAGACCTGGTAGAACTATAATGTTATTTGATAATGTGAAGTTCTTTGGCTTTGTAAATGCTGAGTTTGCTAAATGAGAGTCGGAATGATGATACATTAAGGAAGCGTTCATTTTCCAGCGCTGTGCATGCACAAATAGCATTCTAATAGCTCATTCTGCAGCTGTAATTTAATATATTTTAATGAGTCTTTGATCTTTGACATCAGGGGACTCCATGTATTAGAAATGGTTTATAAGCACTTTTTTTTTTTTTTTATGTAAATGAAAGCCAAAAATTTCTGCAGTATATTTATAAGACCAGAAACCACGATGTGTTAATCACTTCTGCATCATCATCTTCAAGTTGCATTGTTATCTGTGAGTTGCATTCAGTAGAAAACCTTCTGATAAACACACAATTCATATCAAAATAAACAGAAAAGCTCAGGTTTGGGAAAAGAAGGGATAAGTTTGTTACAGTCTATTATCTCTCTAAGATAAGAGATAAAGAAGGCCGCTTAGACCATCTAATATTCTTCCTGAGGTGGTTGTCTTATTTTATTATTAATGTGGACTAGTTGGCATTTTGAAGTCCTAAAAATGTTGTACAAATAATGGTCAGTAATTCTTTCAGGGTCTTGCTCTGTTGAATGTTAAATGCTTTCCTCCTTCATTCCTTGCCAGACATATGCTGGGTAACCTAAATTTTCTTGATGGTTTATTGCCTTTTATTCGGTTTTAGCATTGTTAATTTTAAACCCTATTTTCTTTCCACTTTCCTCAGATTTCCAACCACCCTTGTTATCATTCTCCTACAATGATCAAATCACCCAAATTTGTGGCTCAACTAATTTTAATGCCTTCTATTCTGTAATGTGATTATAATGATTTCTTTGTACTTCCATAGCTTCTTTAAACAACAAAAGCTTTAATCTTATGTTTATATGAAATGGGGCAGGGCTTTCACTCCCTAAATGTAAATGTAAGTTATGGGTGTGACATATTATTAATGTAAATTGAGGATATTCATTTAAATTTAGAATGCTGGATTATTTTATAGACATCCAAACAACTCTTGATAAACTATTCTGTGCTTTCTTAAAGGTTATGCATTCTTTATGAGCGTTATGATTGCATTCTGATTATGATGTTTAGTACTGCTGAGTCTCACATTTCATAGCTGTAGTATTTCTAGTTGTATGTATATGCTTCTGTTGCCTTCATCTTCCTAGTCTTGAAGACCTCATAGATAGCAAAGTGAGCACATTTGTTGGAATCACATGAGCTTTCTTTACCATTCTGTCACATCTGTACCTAAATGTACATGTAGTCTTGCATTCTGTAAACTTACATGTCCTGATCGTCACTGATGCAAAATTGCAGTTTATAAATTTATTCATCCACCTTTGATTTAGAAATATATTAATTTACCTGTGGTAGAATATGAATAAAAACAGGATATTCCAGCTTTTAATGACCGTCCTATGTACTTTGGAATGAACAAACATGATTGTACAGAAGAGGTGCCAGTACCAATTTTTCAAGAGTTTGCTCCCCACTTTAGTGTTCCAGGAAAATCTTTTGTTTCAGCTAGTGAATGAAGCTATCCAAACACAAAACTTTGCACTTTCATTTTTTTCCATTTTTTTTTTTTTCATGTGTTTATTTTATTTGTCAGTCTCACCTTATACGTACAGACTGGGTGACAAGATGCTGGAGAGCAGCCCCGCAGAGAGGTCATCTGTGGGTTGTGGTTGATAGCAAATTGAATATGAGCCAGCAGTGTGCCCTGGCAGCCAGCAGGGCCAACCGTACCATGGGGTGCATTAAGCATGGCATTTCTAGTCCATCAAGGGAAGGGCTCTACCCTGCCCTGCTGCGGCCTCACCTTGAGTACTGTGTGCAGTTCTGGGCACCACAGTACAAAAAGGATGTAAAACTGTTGGAGTGTTTCCAGAGGAGGGCAATGAAGATGGTGGGAAGACATATGAGGAGTAGCTGAGGTAACTGTGCCTGTTCAGCCTGGAGAAGAGGAGGCTGAGGGGAGACCTCATCACAGTCTACAACTGTGGGGGGGAGTGGAGGAGCAGGCACTGACCTATTCTCCATTATCACCAGTGACAGGACCCACGGGAACGGTGTTAAGCTGAGGCAGGGGAGGTTTAGGCTGGACATCAGGAAGAAGTTCTTCACCGAGAGGGTGGTTGCACACTGGAACAGGCTCCCCAGTGAAGCAGTCACTTCTCCAAGCCTGTCTGAATTTAAGAAGCGATTGGACTATGCACTTAATCACTTGTTCTGAAATTTTGGGTAGACTGGTGTGGTGCCAGGAGTTGGACTTGATGATCCTTATGGGTCCCTTCCAACTTGGGATAATCTATGATTCTATGGTCTTCCAGGTTCTTTGCCAAAGGCCAGAAATATGTGACACTGTTCTGTGACAATCTCTATCATTCTTGAACATCCTTGTGAGAAAGTATACAAAAAAGATTCTATTATTACTTTTAGCCACTAATGAAATTACATTTCTAGTGAATTAGGTAGATGCAGGTGGGGGTGTCTGGTAGCTGTCTAGCAGGAAAATGAGTCATTAAAAATGTCATGCAATTGAGACAAAAATATATCTTCTATCTTTAAAATAAACACATAAAAATACACCCTATTCTACGTTAATCAGGGCAGAGTATTTTTTATGCT